GCCTACCAGAGCGTGCCTCATCTTCGACGTCCATATTACCAGAACGGAATCGTTGGAACCACCGCTTTGCTGTTGCATTCGATACTGTATTGGGTCCATAAACAGCACAAATTTTTTTGGCCGCCTGCTCCGCCTTTTCACCTTGGTCGTAGTGGTACTGAAGAATGTATCGAATTTTCTCTTTTTTTACCTCCATTTTGGAACGCTGTAACACACAACTGGCTTGACCAAACACAAAACTGTCACAGAACTTTTTTTGAAGCGTAATGTCACCTTTAAATCGCCGTATAGTATGATCCGATGCGATGTATACATCGTGAGATATGGCTCACTAAAGACATTTAGCGGAAAACGTTCAGAACTTTTTACTTCACCTAATATTTATTCGGGTCATTTTTCTCGATACCGTCGTCCACTGCATATTCTGTGACTGTCATTAATTTGAGCTCCAAATGGTCCCTAGAAGTCACTTTGATCACTGATCTGAAAACGTAACTGAACATAAAATTTTCCCGCTCATTTCAAATCCGGGGTCAAAAAGGGAGTTTCCATTAAAAAATTCAATGTTGACCTTCAGATGACCCTCAAGATCAAATTCAAGGTTACAAAAAGATATATATAAACTTTTTCTGAAAGTGCGCACTTTTGGAGATCAGAGGGGGGTCCCATAGTTTTCGAATACCCTGTATATGCATTGTGTTTCACTTTAAGTGATATCGATTATTTCGCGAATCGATGATTTTATTGAAAAATTTTTCCAACGAAAGTTGCATGGCTTAAAGGGGGACATGTGATGAAAATATGAACTTGACCTTGAGTGACCTTGTCAAAATCAGGTCAAGGTTATTAATGTTTTTTTAAACGGAATCTCCTATTTTTTATTACATATTCTTGTAGCTTATTGCGAGAGCTTTCCAAAACATTTTAATAAATAAATAAATAAATAAATAAATATATATATATAATTAATTGATCAATATTGAGTTTATTTTTGTATGTATTGTGTTATCGTGTATCGTTACGTATAAGTGTAATCACGATATGTATGAATTCACAGTGAGACAATGTAAAATAAAGGGTGATGTGGCAGCGAAAGTAGATGAAGGAATGCCTTTGGAAACACCTAATCAATGGAAACCTTTGCTATTATTAATCCCACTGCGCCTTGGACTCAGTGAGATCAATCCTGTATACATTACTGGACTTAAGGTAATATGTGTATGCATATGTATGCGTGTGTGGCGTTTGCGTTGTAAACGTTATGTATGTAAGTATATGTGTATTCGTATATAAGATGTCAGGCAATTAATGATAACGTTCATACGTACAAGTAGACCTTATTAAAATAACCAAAAAATTCTTTACAATTTTGAAGATTTTACAATAGTTATTAAAAAATCATAATCCTGCAAATCAAGGTCCAATAATACTTTATCTGGACTAACTCATTATTAAATATAAACTGATTTGATTCCCTGATGGAAAAAATTTGCAGAAAATATAATTAAATCGTCGAAAAGAGAAATGAAAGTTATTGAAAAGTTGTTGAAAATATTTCATAATGAATCATGAAAAATTCAATTTCTCCATTCTAACCCTTATCCATCCATTACCCTCTCCTCTCCCTATCGTCTCTCTATCCCCATTCCCCTCATTATTTCTTTCATTCTCTCCTCTACTTCCCTCTCTTCTTCCTTCATCCCTTTTACCATTATATTTCTCCTTATTTCCTCTCTTTTTCTCATCTCCACCCTCCTTTCCACCTTTCCATCTCTCTTACTAGCTCTCCTGCCTCTTTCCCCCCTTCATCCGTAACTCTCATCAATTTCTCCTTTCTCTCTATTCTCTCCTTCAGTTCCTTTATTCTTCCTCTAAGCTCCTTTATTCTCTCTTCTCCACGCTTCCTCCTTCTCTCCCATCAACTTTCTTATCCCCTCCAACTCCTTCATTTTTTTCCTTTAACTCTCTTCCCTCATCTTTTTTATTACCTTTACCATTTCCCTCATACCTTTCTTCATTTCTCTTTTCTACTCATCCAGCTCCCTTCCTCTTCCCAACTCCTCCGTCTCATCTTCTCCCTCCCCTTTTTGTGGCGACTTCAATATCCTCCTCCCTTTCTTAAACACACACCATTCCTCCTCTTCCCTATCGCCCTCCTCCTCCTCCCTTCTCCGCTCTTCCTCCTCCTTCTCCCTCTTCCTCTTAAATATTTCTTCCCCACACTTGCTCTCCTTTCCTCCTTTAACAAACCCCCTCTCCATTTCTGCATTGACCCTCCATTCATCTCCTCTCTTCTCAAACTTCTCCTATAATCCGCTCTTTCTAATCTTACTTTTTTTTCTTTTTCTTCCCATTCCTATCTATCTCACTACTCTCTAGTCTATGCTCCTCTTACCTCTGCCTACTACCCAGTCCTCTGATACTCTCCCATATAGTCCGTGTAATACGTGTGACTTAATATCTGCGAACCACCAGATGTCGCTAAGCAACAGTTGGTCCGATCCCTGATCAGCTATTGTTTCTGAGTCTCAGCAGTAAAGTGTGACTGTGAAAAAGCGTGAATAAAACTTTCATAAAAGTTGATAAAAAAAATTAAAAAATAATGTCTCGTTTGAATAGCTCCAGGCTGTACTTCTGGATACGATACAAATAAGGAAAAAGTACTTTTTTTACGTACCCAAAGACGAAAATGTTATAAAATTGTGGCAGAAAGCCCTAAGAAAAATTTTATTTTAAAACATAAGCAGGCTATCTATGAAAAACGGTTTTCATCTGCAGAAATTTTATGGAATAGAAGTATTTATGATAAAGAAGGCAATTCTTGGCGTGTTAAGTTTGGATGATAAATTATTGCTTGTCATTAGCTAAAATTTCTCAGATATTTGTAATTGATGTTATAATAGATATTACAAAGTGAAAATTATACAATGTTTTAATGAGATAAAGTAGGTAAAAAAGAATTTTATTTGAAATAGTTTATATATCGGAAAATGTATGCTTTATTAAAAAGTTATATACGTTCGAAGATGTATGCAAATAAAATTGTCCCTTATAATTCGTTATACAGAATCGCAGACTGGACGACGACAGATACATATAAGTTTCAGTTATTGTTTACACGTCTTTTGCCTTATTTAGCCTGTTCCATACTTGTATTTATTAGCAAAACAGTTGTTTTATCAAAATATAATAAAAACAAAAGACCTGAGTGTTAGGAATGTGTTCAAATTTACTACTATTTCTAATATATACTAGGAATATTGTAAAAAATTCGACGATTAGAAGTTTGTATTGCTGAAAAGAAAATTTTTCTCAATTATATTAGCAATTATTAAAAATCTTTAAACGATTATAACTTTGCAATAATATTTTATATGTTGAATATATTCTATTATATATTTTATTATATATTATATATTATATATTTTATTTAATAAATTTTACTGATTATGCTAAATTATATATTCTATATTTACCTCAATAAAAAATAATTTAAACAATTGTCTCTCTATATAAAAATTCTAATTATAGTAATTATTGTATTACAGTAATTATAGTAATTACTATATTATAACAAAGTTTATATATTGCTATAATATTATAACAAAGTTTATATATTGCTAAGATTACTAATTGTTTAATAATAACTTATTAAATATATACTATTATATTGACTTTATGGACTTATTAAAATATGCGATGATGTCTATATCATTCTATCCTTATTATTCGCCGAACATCAAACAAAAATAGTCGTCATATAACTATAGATATATATGATCGGACCGACCGTTGCCAGCGCCACGCGGACATTACGTAGCAACGTGAACTAACGATGTGCAGTAGGCTGCTATTACGCCGTCGCCATTTTTTCCACTTTCCAGTTTCTCACTCATCCAGATGTCTCTCTCTACTTCTCTCTTTTTTACATCTCCACTTATTCTCTATTCTAACCTCTTCTGCCTTCCAACTTCGTCCTCACTTTTCCACCCTTTCATTCTTCCCCCCCTGTCTTCCATACACTCCCACACTCCCCTCATCACCCTTCTCTTCCTCACGCTTACACCACCTCTCAACACCAACTTCTTTCTTCCTCTTTCTCTCACACTCTCTCCACACACTTAACCTGCCAGTCATCTAACACACGCCGGAAACGGAAGTCATATATATCTAGCAAGAAAATTACTGTTGTGACTATGCCTTACACGCATCGTCCCTAAGAACAGCCGACACAACATCCGTCGGCTGTAAACGGCGCTAAGCGCCAAACAAATAAACCCAAACATAAACATGCGCCACGCCTAAAGACACGGAACGTCAACAACAACGTCAAATGTAACGAGACGGTATATAAACCGTGGCCGAGAAATAAGCGGAGAGACCGATCCAGACCGCCGACCGAACTCGATGCTTCAAAGCGGAGAGCAAGGTATCCGACCGTATCGTTTCTACCTTTCCGTCACCTTCCGAGACCATATCGACGAAATCGGCACCTGGAGATTGTGTGTTCGCTATCTCCGTCAAGCGCTCTTGACACCGACTTCGTCGTTCCATCAGGATCTAACGACCGGCCTACGAGTTCGTGTGTTCGCGAACCCGATCGAGTCTTCTTGGTACCGATCATATCCCGACCCCACGAGCAAGCATCCGAGCCAGTGTGTTCGCTGCGCCCGATCGAACGTTGTCGATACTTGCTTTATTGATCGCGGCGATACGCGAGTCGCCCGATATATTGCGCTGCGTGCTGCGACACGCCAAGATCCCGCGTACCGCCGGGGCCCCGCCGCCCTACGTCTGTTCGCATCGCGATTCGCGGATTCCACGCGATTTGTCTCTGGCGAAGTGCCAGCTTCGCGCTATTCGCCCCGCCTACCGAATCGCGAGACCCAGCCGAGCGAAACCGAGACCCGATCACTGCTGCCGCCTCGCGCCGAAATCCGCGTAGCTCACGCCGTTGCTCTGTATTCTAAAGATCAAATAAACTGTTATTTGTTATTATTTGCTAGTGTCAATTATATAACGATCCTTGACTCCGACGAGCGATATTCCCGGCGATACGATCAACAACCAACGCGAGACGTACGGTTGTTACACTGTAATGTAAAAGGAGATCTTGGGGAAGGGTGTATACAAGGTTGTGCCCTTATAGAAATATCATACTAAGAATCATTGATAAATTACTTATTTTCAGTATTAAAAGTACAGTATTTAGTAATATCTGTGATTCAAATACAGCTTTTAGTACTCAAGTATTTCAATATTTAATGTTACAAATCCTATCTTATGATTGATTTCAATACTTAAATATTGATATGTAATACTTCGTCCAGTGATAAAATACTTACGCAGAACATTGTCAATATTTAAATACTAATATATAATACTTTGCTAAGTGTTGAAATACTTACGCAAAGTACTGTTAAGATTAAAAGTATTAACCCGGACAGCATACAATATTAGTAAGTTCTTAGATAAATATTTATAAATATTTATTTTAAATTACTTTTT